TAACTATGCAGATTGCTTTTACTTTGATATATTTCTATCCTGCAAGAAAAAAAAAAAAAAGGCTCGTTCGGCTCCCCCCCACCCCACACCTCAAAAAAATGTGCTTTTGTTAAGTTATTTGATTTAGTGTCTATTGAAACATAATGGCTCCTTAGTAGTTGGATTTGAAGTCTTTATACTTAATATTTCAATCCTTTGACATCGTCGTATTTGCCTTCCTTCTTGCTAACGTTTTTAATACTGCAATGGGAAACAAGTTATGTAATGTTGAATGAAATACTAAACATATACTAAAATAAGCAAATTGCAGAGAAAGCTGCCTAAAGAAAGCCACCAGCGCCAAGGGAAAAGGCTGAGATCAAAGATGTATTCTGACGTAAATGGTGCTGCCACACAGGTACTTTACCTGTGTTTTGATATATATCAAAAGACAGACTAAGAGAGAAGGGCAATTTCACTACCTTCTTCTCCTGGTCAGGACACCACGCCCTTTTAAAAGCCTCTGTACAGTAGTTTGTAATTATGAATTCCAACATGGGCAAAAATGAGGTAGCGGTGTGAGCTAATACACCCTAGTACACAAAAGATCTGTCAGCAACTGATGCAAAAAAAAAAAAGTCCAGCCAAAAATCTTTTTTTTTCTTCCTTCTGAATTTAACAATAAGGAATTTAAGCCTCAATGTGGCTTTAGCAACCAAAGAAAAGAAGCTCTTGGTGTCTGCATAATACCACTTTGATGGATTTTTTTTCATCAGTTCTCTGTACGTGGCAACAAATAAACAAGTATAATTATACTTGTGAAGGTCTATTCATTGCTTTGTCAGGATTAGATATATGTGCCGTTTTCACACTGCGCCTCTCTTTTGTCTTTGCCTAACTCACTATGACATATTGATAGAGGATTTGGAATGGGGAAAAGGCCACAGCAGAGACAGTGATGACCTTTTGGAAACTTGATATAATTCAAGGATCTTTCTTTCTTTCTTTCTTTCTTTCTTTCTTTCTTTCTTTCTTTCTTTCTTTCTTTCCTTTTTCTTTTCTTTTTTTTTCTTTTTCTTTTTTTTTTTAGGATTTGTAACTTGTTACCAAATTCTCTTGTAAGTGGACAACTTTTAACCCGTTTAAAATGGAGTAAATAAAGACTCAAAGTCCTATGAGGTGGCTGAAGAGCAGAGGAGAATAAAAACAATAGACTAAGGGGCGCATTGGTCTTCTTTCCCAGCACTTAGCAGAGTGGCTAACCTAGCATTCCTTTCCCATTATTCTGTCCTCTTGATCAGATCACGTTCTTTTTAATCATTTCACAAGCACTGTCTCACTGGACCGTAGAGGAGGGCTGGGACAATCTCAATTAAAAAAAAAAAAAAGAAAGAGGTAAAACTGGCCTCTCTGATTTTGGGTTCTAATGGGAACTCTGCTTGCTGAATGCAAAGGAATTCTTCTATTGTTCAGAAAGCACCCCCTTTCATTAGCCAGGCTCCTTGTAGGTGGGTTTGGTCATTTAGCAGAGCTGAGTTTAGGCAGCAGTGACTGCAGGACGAAAGCAAGGCAGAGCGAGCAATAAAAGTTCTTTTTCTGCATATTGTCCATTAGTTCCGAAAAAGGGATTTACATGATCAAAGTCACTGATCTTGTGAATTAGTGAGAATACCAAAAAATGTGTACACATATTCTAAGCAGACCAGCAGGTATGTATTGTTCTGAATTTAGCATTAAAATTATATTAGGTTTTCTATTTGGGATTTCTTGAGGACTTTGGTGATTTTTAAGGAATAGAATGCTTGGCAGTCGACAACAGAAATTGGTAAAGACTGAAAAGAAACCAGCTTAAATGGTGAAGCAGCTTTTATAGTGAGTTTACTTGTTATGCAGTCATTTTGAAATGAATTAGGTGGTTTAAGCTAAATGGTTGTCTTTGTGGTCTTTTTACTGGGACTTCTAAAACTTTAGTATAAATTTCCTACATGGGTCACAATGATCTAAGAAAGATCTTGTCTGACACTGAGGGCAATGAAATTACTTAGCATCATATTCAGTGTCACTGTATATACTAATCTAAATAACTTTTTAACTGTACAAACTAAAGTGATTCCATCAAAATATACTGGTGAACATTGCCATGGTCATAGTCAATAGCTGCAAATTTTAAAAATCAGGTAATATGTTATTCAGCTGTGTCAATCTAGATAGGTTTGCTATGGTTGCTTTTGGAATGAAATGTAAATTTGATTGCATAAAAGACTTATTATGTACTTGATTCAGTTTCTGATTAATGTGTAGCTTATTGAGAAGAAATTGATAGGCAGTTTCCTATAAAATTATGTGGGAGTATTGTAACAAAATGTGTCGTACTGCTTTGACCTGTGATGGATTCTTGAGGGTAGTTTTCATAATTTTTTTTCACATAGCAATAATGTTGTTACATTTTTGAAAGTTACTTCTGGCTCTATTAAGATAAAATAAAAAGGCAGGATCTACTTTGTATAGAGAAATGTTGAGGTGATACATTGCAGAGTTCATTCGGCAACTGGCCAAAATTCTGAACTACAGATTGTATACAACTTATTTGAAGTGCATTCAGCTAGTGTGTAATAGTCCTAGCAAGTGTTTCTGTAGGCTGAGATCTGTTGTAGGGCTACAGGTCAAACAGAAATAAAACAATTATAAAAATATAGCTTAGAAAATCCTTTACAACACCATAAAGTGGGAACTTTTCTTACTTTTGTAATCAAAGTGACTCTTCTTCCATATACCAGCCTAAGTTACCTTATTATAGGAAAAAAAAAAAAAAACCCTCCCTGGGTTTTCGAACTTGTCATTTTAATCCAGGATCATTAATTCAGTATTATTTACCACTCTGCTTCCACTCCAACTCTCTAGTCTCTTCCTGACTTCCTCATTTCCTTCAGTCTAGCAGGGGATTATATTTTAGGCATTTTGGCTGCCTTCAGTATGTATACATTGTTTGTGCACACTTGGTAACTGCAAAGGTAAACATTAATGTTTGTGGACTAATTAGAAAATTATTAGTTTTTCATGCTTATGGTTATCAGATTATTTCAGTGGGTTTTAAAAGCTGCATGCATGCCATGAGGATAATTAACCTGGAGCTCATCAATGATTAAAATTACACACTAAGCTTTGTGATGTTTGATTTGTGAGCAATTAGAGTGTCATTTTAACCATTGCAGATACCAAAACGAATTTTGATTTCATTTTTCATCTATGTAGATCTTTTGATGTATTTTAAACTGATCACTTCCTCTCTGATTTAGTAGACAAGGTTAAATTTGATTACAGTAAAGACAGTATTAAGAACTTATCCTTCATACTAACTATGCCAGTGACCTTCAGTGATGTCTTTCTTTTGTAAGAGCTTTTTAAAAGGATTTTCTAAAATACTTAGTAATATTGGTGAGCCCAGAGTTTTGTTTTCTTCTTATATCTCTGCCACTATGAAGTCTGTGCAATAGAATGTAGGAGGGTGAGGGGCATCCAAGGTAAGGCATGTCTGTCTCACACAATATAATATGTAATGTAATAGAGCAATGTCAACCTTTCTTGTTTCAGAAATTGTCAGCACATGTGAAAGTTGGTACTTTTAAATTCAGGGGCTGTTTGCTTTGAAGTTATGAGCCCCTTCAATGTTAAGATTTGAACCAAGATTGCCTACCTGTTTCATAAAATCAAGACAGTACCTATGTCATAGGCTGAAAATAAATACTAAAGTTTCAGACCACTCAACTGTTGTGTACAGTGCCATCATTCTGCAAATGGAGAGATCTGCAGGGACTCAGAGAAGCTTAAGCTGTAATCAAGCTGCTGTTACAGTAGCTGAGGGTTGCAGACATACACACACAGGAGGAAAATGCATTTTCACCAATATATGCCCAACTTTTCCCTGGTACCTTACCCTGCTGCCAGAAACTGATATGACCTTACAGAGTGCATCCTG